TACTACTACTACTACTACTACTACTACTACTACTACTACTACTACTACTACTACTACTACTACCTACTACTACTACGACTACGACTACGACTACGACTACGACTACGACGACTACGACTACTACGACTACTACTACTACTACTACTACTACTACTACTACTACTACTACTACTACTACTACTACTACTACTACTACTACTACTACTACTACTACTACTACTACTACTACTACTACTACTACTACTACTACTACTACTACTACTACTACTACTACTACTACTACTACTACTACTACTACTACTACTACTACTACTACGACTACTACTACTACTACTACTACTACTACTACTACTACTACTACTACTAAGACACCCCGTGCACCGTACAGCTCTGAACAGCTTATCCGCACATCCGAATTACTGGGAAAAATTGAATATTCCCCGGGAACCCCGAACTTCATTATTCCCACGGGGTCTCTTATTGGGGGCACTTGGTTACCCGACGTATGAGGCAACTTCGCACGACTTAATGAAACGCACCGAGTGGTTAAATCACTGATCTCTGACCTGAGGTGTGCCCAATTCGGGTAGGGGATCACCTGCTGCAGCTGGAGCAGCCAATGAGGCTGCTGCGGCTGCAATCAACCCCGTTCTGCTACCATGTTAACCCTGGAGAAGGAATTGTACGTGAACGTTTGTTGCCATTATCCCGTGAGCAAGAAGGCATGCGCTCCACAGGTTGAACACTCGGACCAAACGGCGTCGGTAAGGACGGCCACTCGACTCTCACGCTCAACGATGCTTCTCACCTAGTTGTAACGGCATGTTCCAACACCTCCTCCTCCTCCGCCACCTCCTCCTCACCCCTTTTCTCCTCCCTCGCGCTGGAGTTCGGCCAGAGATCGGCCAGCTGTATGGTGTCAAGGGACACCTCCTGCGCTGGCCAACTTGCTCGATGACCCCATCCATGGGGCACGCACACTCTCGTCGCTGTCGGGACCGGCTCTGTCGTCTGTCAGTGGCTCCCCTTCTGGGCCTGTCGGTGATTCGGGAAGTACCGAGGTGAGCGAGCACCAGTTTCTGCCTCAGATGTGGTGGATCGACTCAGTAGCGGACGATAAATCCTGCCACAAAGTCCGATTCCTAAGGGACGCGAGGCCTGAGTGCGTTTCGTCGCGGCCTTGGGCCTGATCCTCGGCTGAGGGAGCTGATTGGCAGGGCCTTGCCAGCGTCGCGACTTGAAGCCACACTTGCGGGTTCCAGGGGAGTCCAAGTGTTCCATCCGTCCCCGTGGGGTTCTCATCATGTGACAGTGCCCGATAGTACGAGCAGAGAATGCCTGCCCTCCTTGAGCGTGTGAAGGCCATGGAGGCACTCTCGAAGACACATCTTTTGTAACCATGCCTGTCTTTGGTGAGATCATCTTCCGACCTTTACAAGGCGCTGTCTGATCTTCTCCTGCTGGAGTTCGGCTGGAGGGGCGTTCGGGGATCACTCCTCCTCAGCCCTTCTCTTCGTCATCCCAAGGCCGTCCACCGTCACAGCAGAAGCGAAAACCGGTCGATCCGACAGCGAGACCGAACAGACCGCGGGCAGCCTACGTAAAGGGCAACAACACCGCAAGAACCACGCACAAACCAATCGAACCGAACCGACCGAACGCAACCGACTGCGACGCAACCGAACCGCCCAGATCGCAGACACTCTTGCCTAAGCTTCTCCCCCTCTCATTCCTCCTGCCTCCACGACGCCTCCTCTCTCCCCTATCCCAACACGGTAGCGGCACCACGGTGGCAAGCTCAGGCTGCAGCTTTCCGACGCGGGGGACATCATGCCTCTGGAACTCACCATCCTGCCAGGGGAGGAGGCGGAGGAGGAGGAGGAGGAGGCGGAGGCGGAGGAGGAGGCTGCGGAGGAGGAGGAGGAGGCGGCGGAGGAGGCGGAGGAGGAGGAGGCGGAGGAGGCCTCTGTCCTCACTGGACGTGCCGGCCTGTCCCCCGTCGCCTGCCCCCGTGGCACGCGCAGCCCCGCGCAGGCAGCTCCACCGCGACCCGCACGCGGCCGCCGGCGGCCCCGGGGCCCCCCGCGGGGCAGCCACGGACCGCCGCCGGGCACCGCAGGCGCACCGCCGAGGTGCCCGCACGGTGCTCTCCGCACGCACGGGGGCACGCACGAGCGACGAGACGGGCGGGTGCGACGATGAGCCGGCCAACGGGATGCGGGGAGGGGAGAGGAGTATAGTCAGAGGGAGGGGGAGTCTGAGGGAGGAGGAGGAGGAGGAGAGAGCAAGGAGGAGGAAGAGCCAGCTCAGCAGACCAGCCTTGCCCGCCTCCTTCCTGCTCCACCTCCTGCGCATCCCCATCCCAATCGATTGCTGCCAATCCCTCTTACTCCTCCTGTCCCCTCTTTTTCCCTCCTCCCCCTGCCTCCAATCCTTCCTCCTCCTCCTCCTCCTCCTCCTCCTCCTCCTCAACAATCCGTCTCCTCTTCCTCCTCCTCCCCCTTCTTGCTGCTTCCCCTCCTGCGCCCGCGCGCTCTGACGAGGCACTCCACAGGCACACAGGGGCGAGCGCGGAGACGAGTGAGACATCCTCGCTGCAATCGAGGCACCCCCCCGCACCCGTCGGCCCAGCAAGGAGGGGGCGACCCGTCGGCGTCTGGCACACCGGACGCAGAGGAACAACAACTGCATAAACACGTACAGTAGGGGCCCGTCCACAAGAAACCTTCCACAAGAAACCCAACCCTGAGACGACGTCCACTGATTTTCGGTGTGGGGACGTCACGCTCTCCATCGCAAATCCATCGACACCCAAGAAACCCGGGGCACCCTGGAGGCAAGCAGGGTGTTTCTTGGCATGGGCCTCCACTGTAAACAGAAACTTTCGCAGCTCCGCGCGGATTTCAGAGCTCTGCAGGGGCTGGGGGGAGGGGGGCCCAGAGCAGATCCAAGAACTCCGCGCGGGCCGTGGGACGTCCATGTTGAAGGGGCCCTGGGACACACAAATAAATATACACAAATTATCCCAGTGCGACCCAACCTAGGAGTTGGAGCCCCTAGGAAAGCAGCATAAGCTAAGCTAAGCTAAGCTAAGTTAAGCTAAGCGAAGCTAAGCCAGGCTAGGTTAAGCTAAGCTAAGCTAAGCTGAGCTAAGCTAAGATGAGATAAGCTAAGCTAAGCTACGCTAAGCTAAGCTAAGATGAGGTAAGGTAAGGTAAGGTAGGCTAAGCTAAGCTAAGATGATATAAGCTAAGTTAAACTAAGCTAAGCTAAGCTAAATCTAAGCTAGGCTAGGCTAAGCTAAGCAGTGCTAAGCTAAGATGAGATGAGCAAAGCTAAGCTAAGCTAAGCTAGCTAAGCTAAGCTAAGCTAAGCTAAGCTAATCTAAGCTTAGCTAAGCTAAGCGAAGCTAAGCTCACCCAGGGGGCGCGGGGGGATCCTGGGGGAACCGCGGGGCGGATACTGGGGGAACCGCCCGGGGCGGGCCCCACTGCCCGGCCCTTTAAGCATACCGAGTAAGAGCCCTTCTAGGCAGAGCCTAGGTAGGAAATAACAGGATCCCCATCTTTCCTAAGCTTTTCTATGTTTTTGTCTTCCCCCCCACTTGCAATATTTTCCCATATCTTCTGGGGGTCGACGATTCATTGTGTCTGTGTGTTGTTTCCCCTCCTGACATGTGCATGCAGCTGTCTGTTCCTCTGGGACGGTCAGACCGCCTGGAGAAATGCTGGCGTCGTCGCAGACCTCAAGCGTCGCGGGAAGATCGGCGCGGACGTTTCTCGCGACTTCGGCCTCGGGAGAAGGGGGGGCCCTGGGACCGCAGAACAAGGCCCGCCACAAAAAGGTGTCCCAGGGGCGAGTTCGAGAAAATCAGGAGGCAACGTCGCGAATCCAGCGCGACGTTGGAGGTCTGTGCAAGTTGGCCACCCTTTCGGATCCCGTAGGACGGGGGGGGCGGCTCGAACAAGCAAACGGGCCCCCCCCGTGCGCGAACACCAAACGTTGACAAGACTTGGACGAGTCTGGCTGCTGCCATCGCTGGGGAAGGTCCGCTCGACTGCTCCTGAGCACCCTGGCCCCCTGAAATGGCGACCCTGCTGCTGGTGCCACGCTGGAACAGCGGCTCCCGTGAGAGAAACAAAACTGACGGGCCGCACACGTTAAAAAAAGCAGTAACAGTCAATCGTCGAAGCACTGGTACACCTTGAAGGACAAGCTCATCATCCAATACACCACGCAGGCCGTTTCACAGAAGATGAGCGCCGGCGAGACTTCAGGTGCGCTCAAAGAGACGGGGAACGTCACCCCCGCGGATAGCAAGCCACCGAGGATAACGAGCACGATGGTGGCAACCATCTCTTTGGGATTGATCTTCTGGACCGAGCCTGCATTGCCGAACTCATCCTGCAGAAAAGCGGCAATAGTGATGTCGAGTAATGAGACCAAACAGCTAAGCATTGGCCAGGGCGGCACTGTTGGGAATCGCTCGGTCGCACTAGTCGCTGAAGTGCTGTGGAATCGCTCGGTCGCACTAGTTTTGTCTCGCAGCGCGGCATAGGGGATCGCCACTTCTTCCTGGACGCTCGCAGCTGGAAGACCGAGGGCCAGAGACTTGGGATGCAAACCGGGGCCTGAGCGACCCGAGCGAGAGAGCGAACGAGGGGGCCCGACAGGAAGGAGGAACGGACGGGCTGCGTGCGGACACCCCGTGGAGCTCGACCACCTGGCTGGCCGCAACGGGCCCCCAAGCCTTGGGACCCGAAACCGCTCTGGACGTACCAGTTGGGGGCCCCTTTGGCAGGGGGCTCCCGCCTGAGACTTCCTCGCAATTCACTCACAGACGAGGCTCCCGCCTGATACTTCCTCCATACTCAGGCCTGAGGAGTCCAAAAGTGACGACAAGTACAGGATGCCGATGACCCGCCTCGGATTCGAACATGCGGTGCGGTCTCCTTTGGCAGGGGGCTCCCGCCTGAGACTTCCTCGCAATTCACTCACAGACGAGGCTCCCGCCTGATACTTCCTCCATATTCAGGCCTGAGGAGCCCAAAAGTGACAATTACAGGATTCCGATGACCCGCCTCGGATTCGAACATGAAGTGCGGACCCTATAAGGAGGAGGCTCCCGCCTGGAACTTCCTCACAATTCACTCACAGACGAGGCTCCCGCCTGAGACATCCTCCATTGTCATGCCAGGGGGTGAGTGATGACGAAATTATGAGCGAGTGCATGATGATGGTGAATGAGTGAATGAGTGAGTGATGATGATTATGGTGACGGCGAGAAGTGAGTGTGTGATTGTGTGATTGAGTGAGTGTGAGTGTAAGTGAGTGTGTGACTGGTGAAGATGAATATGAAGATGAACATGATGCTGATGATGATGATGCTGATGCTGATGATGATGATGCTGATGATGATGATGCTGCTGATGCTTATGCTGCTGATGCTGTTGCTGATGTTGCTGATGATGAGGATGATGATGAGTGAGTGAGTGAGTGAGTGAGTGAGTGAGTGAGTGAATGAGTGAGTGAAGGAGTGAGTGAGGGTGAGTGATGACGAGGGAGCGAGGGGGTGAGGGAGGACTGCGCGGGGTGTCCAGAGAAAACAAGAACCCCCCTTGGGATGTGGGGAAAAATCAGGACGGCCAATTTTTCACTATTTTCGGCCCCTGGGGGCCTTCGCTGGTCCCCGGGAGCATCAAAAAAACGACACGGGAAGGAAAACCGGCCCCGGGAAACGGGTCGGGACTTCAGGGGCGCCGTACTGGCAACATCAGGACGTCGCATGTCTGTTTTTTTCCTGACGTTTAACTTCGATGTCCGATCGAGAGCCGAAGGTGCACCTAAGTAATAAGGCAAGCAGCAACGCAACCAAGGAGCACGGAGCCCCTCCCAAGCGAAGAGGGCTCCTTGTGCAGCGCCCCGACCGGGACGGGACAACCGCCGAAGACCTCGTCGGGGCGGCGTCGGGAGCAGCGTCGGGGCGGGGGCGGCATCCCGGGGAGCGGGCGGCGTCGGGGGTGCCGAGGTGGGTGGCATCGGGGGCAGGGTCGGGATGAGGGCGTCGAGCCAGGGAGGGTGCGGCGTCGGAGTCGCCCCCCGGGGATGGCGGCATGGGCGCCGCCAGGATGGGGGCGTAGGGTAGGCCAGACGTTCCTTGGCCAAGCGGAACAAGAAGCCGGTGCACGTGTGGGCCAATACGAACCCGCTGTCGGGGGCGGCGTCGAGGGCGGCGTCGGGATGCGGGCGTCGGCTCGGGGAGGGAGCGGCGACGGAACCGCCCGCCACCGGGGGCGGCATCGTATGCAGCGTCGAGATAGGGTCGTCGGCCCAGGAAGGATCGGCGTCGGAACCGACTTCGGGAGCAGTGAGGACGGAAATGTTGGGATGGGGGCGTCGGTCGGGGGGGGGAACGGAGTCGCTGAGCCGCCACCAGGTGCGAGGCAGGGGGCAAGCAACGTCGGGATTTCGGCCCGGGGGGGGCGGCGTGGGAACCGACATCGGGGGCAAGGTCGTAGGCATCGTCGTCGGAGGCAACGTCTGGGAGTGGCGTTGGTGCAGAGAGGGTGCTGACACGGCATCATCAGGTGCGACGCCAGGGGCAGCGTCGGGATGTGAACGTCGTTGGCCTGGGGAGGGAACGGCGTCGGAATCGTCGTCGGGAGCGGCGCCGACGGCGGCGTCGGGATGAACGGCGTCGGGACCGACATCGGAGGCGAGGTCGGGGACGGCGTCGGGATGGGGGCGTTGGCCCAGGAAGGGATCGGCGTCGGAACCGCCGTCGGGAGCGGCGTAGACGGTGGCGTCGGGATGGGGGCGTCGGCCCAGGAAGGGAACGGCGTCGGAGCCCACATCGGGGGCGGTGTCCGGGCGGGGGCGCTGGCCCAGAGGAAAACCGGCGTCGAAACCATAATATTAGGAGGTGATTGCCAGGGCAGCGTCGGGATGTGAAGGTCGGCCGTGGGGGGAACTGCGTCGGAACCGTCGTCGGGAGCGGGGTGGACGGCGTCGTCGGGATGGGGGCGTCAGCCCAGGAGGGGGCGGCGTCAGAGTCGCCGTCGGGGTCGAGGTCGGGAACGGCGTCAGGATGGGGGCGTCGGCCCAGAGAGGGAACGGGGTCGGAGTCGCTGTCGGGGCGGCACTACTGGGGGCCGCCTCGGGATGGGAGCATCGGCTTAGGGCTGAGGGAGGGAATGGCGCTGGAAGCGTCGTCGGGAACGGCGTCGGGGACGGCGTCGGGCTGAGAGCGTCGGCCCGGAGAAGAAACAGCGTCGGAACCGTCGTCGGGGGCGGTGTCGTCGACACGACAGCGTCGGGATGGGGGCGTCGGCCCAGGGAGGGGATGGGGTCGGATCCGTCGTCGGGAGCGGCGTCGAAGGCAGTGTCGGGGTGGGGGAGTTGGCCCAGAGCTGAGGGAGCGGAGGTGGAACTGTCGCTGGGGGCAATACCGGGAGCAGTGTTGGGATGCGAACGCTGGCTCAGGGAAACGGCGTCGGGAACGCCACTGGGGGCAGCTTCGGGAGCAGCCGCAAAGGTCAGACGTCGGATACGGCGTCCGGAGGGTTAGACCGGGTAGACGTCGGACACGGCGCCGGAGACGGCGTCGGGAGGGAAGTCGTAGGGTGCGGCGTCGGACAGGGCCAGCACTTCGGCACGTGTCAGGAAATGGTCCCGGCCGTCGGGCAGGGCCTCGGGCTGGGCGCCGTCGTGGGGCAGAACGTCGAATCGGCAGTCGGGCTGGGCGTCGAGCGAGGCACCAGGGGACGAGGTGCGGGGTTGAGCCAAAGGGGTGGAGCGTCGAGATGGGCACGGGGCTGGGCGTCGGGAGGCGTGTGAAGCCGGGCGGGGCGTGGGGCGAGGCGCAGGGCGCGGCGCCGTCGACGAGCACGGCAGGGCTGGGCGTCGGAGTGCGCGTCGGATGGGGGCTCGGGGAGGGCGCCCGGAGGGGAGGCAGAAGGGGCGGAAGGCTGGGCGTCGGGGGAGTCGCACGGCTGCGCGCAGTGCAGGGCGTCGAGCTGGGCGCCGGGCTGGACGCAGGACGCAAGCGTTGGGTGTGTACGGCGTCGGAAACAGCGTCGGGGTTGGCGTCAGAGGCAGCGTCGGGCAGATCGTCGGGGTCAAAGTCGAAAAGGGCGTCACGCACATAAAGACACACACACAACGCTGAGGCAAAACACTGCTGAGCAACTAGAAACTAGAACGCAACGATTGCAGCGGACCACGTTCGCATCAGTACTACCTACAATCCAGGCGCCGCCGCAAGAAACCAACGTGGCCCTCGCGTAAAGCCCAACCCTGCGAATCCGCCCGGGAGGTGCAACTGGGGGAAACCCAGGGAAAGCTGAGTGCAGCAACTCCTGACGCCCGCGGAAGTCACCGCGCAGCGCGCGAAGCCAATGAACTGTTGACACCTCTACAGGCGCCAGTCTTTCGTCCCGGATTCGTTGCCTGACGGCCCTGGGGGCCGAAAGCGCCCCCCAGAAGCAAGAAACAACAACGGAAAAAAAACAATTTCACCTTCTCAGTGCAGTGGGAAACCGGGTCTGGGGGAGGGGGCTTGGCCCCGAGACTTAGGTCGGGCATGTCCTCCTACAGGCGTATTTAAGACGATACATGAAAAACAGTCTAAAGTCTCACCCAATATATTCAAACATGCTAGAAAAAACGTTACCTGACTATTTTTGACTACTCTTGAACATTCCTCCTGTAGAGGCACAGGCACGACTTACGCCTACCACGACATGTTCTCAGAACCCCAACAACTGCTCTAAGAACAAAACACCACGTTCTTCGAACAATACCCGATGTGTTAAACCCCCACAGCCTCAGCCAGAAAAATGATTTTGAGAACATCCCGTGCAGACCACAAAAGGCTCCTAGAACGTTCTTTGGTGGGCCTATAAGCGAGCCAGGACGCTTCGACGTCCTGATTTTGTCAGGATTGCGTCCCCGGAAGTCCCAACCCCTTCCCCGGCCCCGAGGCCCGGCGAGGGCCCCCCGAGGCCGACATTGGCCAGAAACCTCCTGCCCTGAGTTTTGTCACGACGCGAGCATGTCTGGGGCTTGGACGGCGGCGGCGCCCTGTTGGGTCCTTCACCAGCTCCAGCCGGGCGCGCGTGTAGATGAAACTTTTGGCGCTCCGCGCGGATTTCTTGGATCTGCGCCGGGGCGCGCGGAGCGAGCCAGGGGCGGCGCCGAGGCGCTGCCGTGGGGGCCCAGCGCGGATCCAAGAAGTCTGCGCGGAACGCCAGAAGTTTTTATGCGTATGTCTTTTTTTCCCTACCTAGGCTCTGCCTAGAAGGGTTCTTATTCTATGGGCTTAAAGGGGCCGGGCAGTGGAAAGCGCCCCGGGCGGTTCCCCCAGTATCCGCCCCGCGGTTCCCCCAGGTACGTCCCCTTAGCTCGGCGTCGCTTATCTCATCTTAACTTAGCCTAGCTTAACTTAGCTTAGCCTAGCTTAGCTTAGCCTAGCCTAGTTTAGCTTAGCTTAGCCTAGCATAGCTTAGCTCAGCTTACATAGCATAGCATAGCATAGCATATCATAGCATATCATAACATAGCAAATCATACCATACCATATCATATCATAGCATAGCGCAGCATAGCATAGCGCAGCATAGCATATCATAGCATAGCATATCATAGCATTGCGCAACATAACATAGCATAGCATAGCATAGCACAGCTTAGCTTAGCACAGCACAGCGCAGCATAGCATAGCATTGCATAGCTGCATATGTAGGTGCATGTGTAGATGTGGATGTAGGTGTAGATGTAGATGTAGATGTAGATGTAGATGTAGGTGTAGGTGTAGATGTAGATGTGAGTCTCGCTGTTGATGTAGATGTAGATGCAGGTGTAGATGTTAATGTAGCTGTCGGTGTAGATGTAGATGTTGCTTTCCTAGATGCTCCAACTCCTAGGTAGGGTCGCACTGGGATCAATTTCTTCTGCGATGAACGACGGCGGCGCCCTGTCGGGTCCTTCACCGGCTCCGGCCGGGCGCGCGTGTAGATGAAGCCCAGCGCGGAGGCCGCCGCCAGGCCCACGAAGTTCATGGAGGAGGCTGGCACGCAGAGGCCCAGCAGGGCGAAGCCGCCCAGGAGCACGCTGACCCTGCGCGCGTGCGCCCCCGTCGGCGCCTCTCGCGGGAGCACAGCAAGACGCTACTTAAGGAACAAGCTGTGTAAGGCACACAACGACAAAGGATCACAACCCGGAGAAATGCACTCGACGACATGGACTGGGAGGACGAACCCTTCTCTCACAGAAGGGCTCGTCATGGGCTCCCCAAAGGGCCCTTTTGTCACAGAGGCGCTCAAAAGTCACCTATAATTTTGGATTTTGGAGAACTGCCGCCGCCCATGCCTGGGCCCTCCTCCCCGGCACTGCAGGGCCCTCTCGGGCCCATCCTCCGCACGGGGGCCACCCTCCCTGCTGGGGCCATCCCGGGGCCATCCTCGCTGGCACCGCGCGGGGCCATCCCGGGGCCATCCTCGCCGGTACCGGGGCCATCCTGGGGCCATCCTCCCTGGCACCGGCGCCACGCCGCCCAAGCGCGGGACGCCCGAGCAGCCTGCGGCAGCCGCTCGGGCGCGCACGGCGCGTGCGCGGGCGCGCACGGCTGCACGGACGGCCGCACACGCGCGTGCGCCGACGGTGCACGGCCGTGCACGCATGTGCCAGCGCATTTGTCCAGGCCCTCCCAGCTCTGGGCGCTAGGCCGCCTCTGCGCCTCCCGCCGGGCGGGGGCGCCAGAGGCAGGGACGGAGCAGAGAATCCGCCGACCCTGTCGGCGTGTGTGAGGGGCTTTTCCGTTCGAGCCGTCATCTCCGTTATTCTTTGTACTCGTCGTCTCTGTCCTGCGCCCCAGCCGCCCGAGCCGCGCCCGAGACGCTCGAGCCAAGCCGACCTTGAGCAACGTCGTAATTCAGTCGAAGGGAAGCCCCTTCCCTTTGATCCCTTCCCCGCCGGGAGGGGGGGGGGGTATCGACCCCCCCCCCCGGGTCAGATACGACGCCCCCCCCCGTACCGACCTTGAGCAACGTCGTAATTCAGTCGAAGGGAAGCCCCTTCCCTTTGATCCCTTCCCCGCCGGGGGGGGGGGGGGTATCGACCCCCCCCCGGGTCAGATACGACGCCCCCCCCCGTACCGACTTGAGCAAACGTCCGTAATTCAGTCGAAGGGAAGCCCCTTCCCTTTGATCCCTTCCCCGCCGGGAGGGGGGGGGGGGTATCGACCCCCCCCCCGGGTCAGATACGACGCCCCCCCCCGTACCGACCTTGAGCAACGTCGTAATTCAGTCGAAGGGAAGCCCCTTCCCTTTGATCCCTCCCCCGCCGGGAGGGGGGGGGGGTATCGACCCCCCCCCCGGGTCAGATACGACGCCCCCCCCCCGTACCGACCTTGAGCAACGTCGTAATTCAGTCGAAGGGAAGCCCCTTCCCTTTGATCCCTTCCCCGCCGGGAGGGGGGGGGGGGTATCGACCCCCCCCGGGTCAGATACGACGCCCCCCCCCGTACCGACCTTGAGCAACGTCGTAATTCAGTCGAAGGGAAGCCCCTTCCCTTTCCCTTCCCCGCCGGGAGGGGGGGGGGGGTTCGACCCCCCCCCCGGGTCAGATACGACGCCCCCCCCCCGTACCGACCTTGAGCAACGTCGTAATTCAGTCGAAGGGAAACCCCTTCCCTTTGATCCTTCCCCGCCGGGGGGGGGGGGTATCGACCCCCCCCCCGGGTCAGATACGATACCGACCTTGAGCAACGTCGTAATTCAGTCGAAGGGAAGCCCCTTCCCTTTGGCCGGGAGGGGGGGGGGGTATCGACCCCCCCCCGGGTCAGATACGACGCCCCCCCCCCGTACCGACCTTGAGCAACGTCGTAATTCAGTCGAAGGGAAGCCCCTTCCCTTTGATCCCTTCCCCGCCGGGAGGGGGGGGGGGGTATCGACCCCCCCCCCGGGTCAGATACGACGCCCCCCCCCGTACCGACCTTGAGCAACGTCGTAATTCAGTCGAAGGGAAGCCCCTTCCCTTTGATCCCTTCCCCGCCGGGAGGGGGGGGGGGGTATCGACCCCCCCCGGGTCAGATACGACGCCCCCCCCCGGACCTTGAGCAACGTCGTAATTCAGTCGAAGGGAAGCCCCTTCCCTTTGATCCCTTCCCCGCCGGGAGGGGGGGGGGGGTAGCGACCCCCCGGGTCAGATACGACGCCCCCCCCCCGTACCGACCTTGAGCAACGTCGTAGTCGGGGGGTAGCGACCCCCCCCCCGGGTCAGATACGACGCCCCCCCCCCGTATATTCCCTTCCCCGACGGGAAGGGGAGGGAGAGTCCCGGGGGGGGTCCCAGGGGAGTCCCGGGGAAGTCCCGGGTCAGATACGACACCTCCCTCCCCCACCTTCTCGTCCTTCTCCCCGTTCCCCAAAACCATCCCACAGCCCGTGCCTCTTGCTGCGCATTGCGAACAGGGTCGGCGGCACCGGCCGTAAGGCCTTCGCAATAATGTGGGGATCGCGTCGCACTGCCGATGCACTGGCGATGCGTCGGCGACGTCGGGATGGAGAAGAGCGTGACCCAGCCGTGCGACGTCCTGACTTTTTCATTGCGCGGCCCCTGGAAGTCCCGATGCTGTCCCCGGGACCGGCTCCTCGTCCCCCTGGAAGATACGAGAGAATGTCTAAATTGTCGGCGCTCCCGTCCGGGACGTCCTGCATACTCTGCACGTCTAAATTCTTCAACTCCGCGTCTAAATCTAGGCCGCGAAGTGTAGTAAATTACAATGCTTTCTGGCGTCGTTCGAAGCGAATTACGAGACGAGTGTGAATTTAAATATTTCCATACATTTAAACATGAATTTACATGACTTATAAACGATTTAGACACGTTCTGGTGGATGTATACACGAATTTAGACACGGCTCTGATGTATACACTATTCAGACACTATTAAGACATGCCGCGCGTCTAAGAATGATCGGCCCGCTGGATTTAGACACCTCGTTAGACACGGCGCAACATAACGTTAGACACGGCGCAACACGGCGATTGCGATGATGGCGATTGCGATGATGGTACGCTCCCATTGCAGCGGGATGTTTTGTTTCACGTTGTCGGCCGCGCGCGCTGGAAATTGCGGCGTCGATGCGCGTGCTGATGAAGAGTGCGAGCGAAGCGAACGGAATCGTATTGAAGAAGGTGACGATCAGGGGGGGAAGGAGGAGGAGGAGTGGGAGGAGTGGGAGGAGGAGGATCGAGGTGGAGTGGGAGGAGTGGGAGGAGGAGGATGAGGAGGAGTGGGAGGAGGAGTGGGAGGAGCGGGAGGATGAGGGTCGAGGTGGAGGATCGAGGTGGAGGAGGAGGAGGGGGAAGAGTGGGAGGAGTGGGAGGATGAGGATCGAGGTGGAGGGTCGAGGATCGAGCGTCGAGGATCGAGGGCGGTCGACCATGAGGATGATGATCGATGAGAACGAGGTTCGAAGACGAGGCGGAAGATCGAGGATCGACAATCGATGCGAAGCAAAACCAAGGAGGAGAAGGAGAAGGAGGAGGAGGAGGGCCGACGATCGATAATCGAGAACGACGATCGAGGGTTGAGGAGGATCGAAGACCCATGGATTGTCTCTGCTGCGCCGTCATTGCACAGCCTCCTCATCCTCCTCATCCCTGCTCCTCCCTCCTCCTCCTCCTCCTCACTCCTTCCTTCCGTTGGACGGCGAGATGTCGAAGCAATCGCGAAGCAAGACTAAGACTGCCACTTACGCGCACACGCGCCCGGACACACACGCACAAACACACACACACACCCACACACACACACTCACACACACACACACGCACACACGAACAACACACACAAACACAAACACACACACAAACACACACACACGCACACACACACACACGCACACACAAACACAAGAACACACAAGCACGTATACACACACGCACACGCACACGCACACGCACACGCACACGCACACGCACACGCACACACACACACACGCACACGCACACGCACACGCACACACACACACACGCACACGCACACGCACACGCACACGCACACGCACACGCACATGCACACGCACACGCACACGCACACGCAAACGCACACACACACACAAACGAACACACACACACACACTCACACGTACGCACGCACGCAGTCACGCACGCACGCACGCGCGCACACACAAACACACACACGCGCGCACACACAAACGCACACACACACACGCACACACACACACACACGCACACACGCACACACACATACACACACACACACACACACACACGCGCGCGCGCACGCACGCACGCAAGCACTCAAGCACGCACACCCACGCACGCGCGTCCACACCACCGCACATGAACATATCAACGCGGAGCGACTCGAACGCATTTTTTCAAGATCTAGACACAATGTGTTACCTATTTTAAACACGGGTTTCAATGACTTAGACACGGCGCTTAACATACTTATGCACGGTTTAGAAACGATTCAAACACTGTCGGTAAGACACGGATACACTATTAGACACGCCTGATATTTAGACACGATTTAGACACTCATGCACGGGGCCTGCGCGAGAATGCGGTAGACACGCGGGTGTTCAAATCCTGCCCGAATCGCTGAAATTATGCCCCCGCTCCAGCGAGAGCGCGTTAGACACGGAACGCGTCTGAATTATTTAGACGCGTCTAAATTATTTAGACGCCTGTCAAAAAGCGACTCGGGCCCGAGTCGTTTTTTGACAGGCCCGGGGCCAAGCGAGGGCTCCGAGAGGACGGAATCGTCGGAAAACCTTCCGTCCTGATTTTTGTCACGGCGCGAGCATGTCTGGGGATGCTCCGATCCCATCTATACTTAGGTCCCTCCTCCTCCTCCTCCTCCCACCTCCTCCTCCTCCTCATCATCATCATCATCATCCTCCTGCTCCTCCTCCTCCTCCTCCTCCATGCTCGAGCCGTAGTCGCAGAGCGGGTCGGACACCTCTCTCGGAGGCCTCGAGGAAGCCCGCCCACGAGTCAGGAGGGGTTCTTCCGAGGCAGGGTGCCGTGCTGAAGAGGCTGGCCCCTCTCCCTGCCCTTTGGCGGCGCGCTCAAGGGGGTGGAGGGAGGGCTTCTTAGAAGGAGGCTGCTTCTTCGAAGGCGCGGGACTTGCATCTATATCTACATGATAAGGCCCGCGCCTTCTAAGAAGCACGGGTGCTTCTAAGAAGCCCTCCCCTCCCCCCTCCCCCCACCCCCCTCTGCGCGTGGCTGAGCCCTGTTTCTGCGCGCCGCCCGGCCTCGAACATCTGGCGGACCCCCGGGGGCAGGTAGCCCAGGACGTACGTCTGGAAGAGCCGCTTGGGCGAGTTGCCGAACTCGCGCAACCGGTTGGCCTGCTGGCGCTTCCGCATGTCCTCCTCCTTGATGTCTGCGAACCTCGTCATGATCCACAGGTTGGCCGTCTCCACTCGCTGGAGGGCCGTCTCGTCATCGGCATACTTTTTGCGCAAGCGCGCGGTGGCCTTGAGGACCTGCTCCCGCGAGGCGTCGTCGGAGATGCCCAGCGTCCTGTTGCAGGCCCCCCACAACAATCAGGCCGGAGCACTGAGGGTCGGATGATCGCGCCGTATCGCACCTGCATCGGCGCGCCAGCATGGAGACGATCGAGCTCCAGATCGCGCCGCATCGCCGATGCGGCGCGATACTCCGACCCCACCTACGGCAAGTTCACGTTGCGATAACGCGGTCTTTAGTTTCTGACACGTCGTGGACGGTCCCACCACGAACGTATCGCCACTTTCAGGAACCGGAGAGCGTTCATTACTGGCCCCGGTGCAATCTGGAACGGAACGCCAACGCGGGCGTCGCCGCCGCGTCAACGCGGCGGGCGCCACTTTGGAGGGCCTCGTCCTGTACATCCGCAGCCACTCCCGGCCGCTCAGCCGCTCGACGAAGGAGGCGGGCGCCGCCCCCCACTGGCGCGGGTCGACCAGCTGCGCCAGCGCAGCGGAGGCGGCGGTCTTCGAGGGGGGCCAGGCGGCGCCTATACGTGCCGACTCTGGCCAGGCCCGCCGCGGCCCCAGGATCGGTGCACAAGCCCTCCTGGCCTGGCCAGCACCGCCTGTGCACCCATCCAGGGCCCAGGGCCGGCCTGGCCAGGGCCGCCGGGGTCCGCGCAGACGGGGGCCGGTGGCAGCGAGATCGCACCGCATCCTCGACGCATCGGCGACGCCTCGGCGGCGCCTCGGCGATGCCTCGGCGATGCAGCGGGCTCCGCAGCGAGCCGCATCGACGACGCGCCGGCGATGCGGCGCGAGCCCCCCGCCCCCCGCGGCTCGGGCCCCCAGCAGGGAGGCCCGAGGTGCACAGAGCAGGGCTGAACCTGACCGGTGTTTTTCGCTTTCGTTTCCCCTCGTTTTGTCTTCAATCCGCCCTTGCCGCAAAACGAAGTCGAAACGAAAACGGCCCACGAAATCGCCAAAACACCGTATAGGTCCAGCCCTGGCAGAGAGTTCGCGCCCTCCGGCCGCCGCCCCGCGCAGCGCCGCACAGCGGCGCAGGCGCCGCCGCCTGGCCGCGGAAGGCCTGCGCGGCGAAGGCCTGGCCGGGGCCGTCGGAGGGCGCGGGTCGCGCCCAGGGCACGCAGGCCGCCGCCGCGGCCAGCGCCAGGGTGGCGGAGCGCCTGCCGGCGGGCGCGCACCGCGGGGGAGGGGCCTCCTCCTCCTCCTCCTCCTCCTCCGCGTGCTCACCTATAAGAGGCTTGGTGGTTTTGATCTCGCGACGCTTCGCGTCTGTTCCGATTCTGATTCCGATTCCGATTCCGATTCCTCCTCCTCCTCCTCCTCCTCCTCCTCCTCCTCCTCCTCCTCCTCCTCTCCTCCTCCTCCTCCTCCTCCTCCTCCCTCCTCCTCCGCCTCCTCCTCCTCCTCCTCCTCCTCCTCCTCCTCCTCCTCCTCCTCCTCCTCCTCCTCCTCCTCCTCCTCCTCCTCCTCCTCCTGCGCGCGCGGGCGGCCGGAAATGTAGGGCGACGAGATCTAGACGTCTCCACGTCGCCCTGGCCAGGCCCATCCGGGGCCCAGCAGCAAAAGTGTGCACGCCACGCCCTCCCGGCTCGGCCGGGGGGGCGTAATGTGACCAAACGTTTTTTTTTGGTTATACATATATGTATAAAAGACGCGATTCTTTATAAGAAACAGGAGAAGTTTTCCGGGGGGGGCGCGTAGGGCACGATTAGGCGCCGCGACGCCGGGCGCTTCGAGCCCAGGGCGGCGGCGAAGCGGGCGGCGGCGCCGGCGGGGGGGGGGAGGGGGAGAGGGGAAGAGAGCGGGGGAGGGGAGGCCGGAGGTGGTTCCCCTCGCCGCCCCTCCTCCCCTCTCCTCCCCGCATTCCCTCTCCCCCCTCCTCTTCTCTCCTCCCCGCCTTCCCTCTCCCCCTGACAGGCGGCGTCAGACAGCCCACCGGTCCCGCGATCGCACGCGCCTCCTCGGTCCAAGAAACGCACCCCTCGCGCGGACCACGGGGTCTGACCGAACAAGGGGTTGGGACGGGCAGTCACGACCCCCCCTCCCGCCCTCAGGACTGGAGGAGAGGGGGTCGTGACCTTCGCCCCCGCCCGTGGGGGCCCCCATTCGCCCGCGAACAGGGGGTTGGCACGAACGTTCACGACCCCTCCCCCCCCAACCGCGGCCGCGGCTGAGGGGAGGCGGGGTCGTGATCATCCGCACGTGGGAGCCCCCATTCGCGGGCCCTTCCCGTTCCCTTTCCGCCCCCTCTCCTCCCTTCCCTCCCTCCTCCCCTTCCCCTCCCCGGCCCCCCTTCCCCGCCCCCTCCCCTCCCCGCCCCTCGCAGAGAGGGCGCCGCCTTTGTCCAGCGAGCGCAGCCAGCCAGGGGAACTGCGCTCAAGTGAGCGCTCGGCGGCGAGCGGCCGGGGGTAAAAAGTCAGCGCCGTCCTCGTCGTCCTCCTCCTCCCCCTCGCCCTGTCCCTCTCCCTCCCTCCGTCCTCCTCCTCGCGGAAGCGGAAAAAGAGAGGAACAACAAAAAAAACGGGTAGAGGCGGGGCGAGGGTAGCGGAAGGACACGAGTAAAAAAAAAAAAGTTTCCGGGCGAAAATCCTAATCGGGGCGTTCCTTGTTTCTGGGGGAGGGGGGGGGCGGGGAGGGGGAGTCGCATTTTTTAAATCATGTGGTCACATTATGCGCAGCTCCTCGGCCCAGGAAGGGCCTGGCCAGGGGGCAGTGGGTATGCTTCGATTTCCCGTCGCCAAGCACCGATAGCCCCTGGGCACGGAAATGGCCAACCATGCTAGAAACGCACTGGACAACATAACGCTGTGGCCCTCAGGGAAGCAAGCCCGCCTGCCCCCGCATTGCGAGGGACCAGAAATTTGGCCATCGCATCGCGCATTCATGTCACTGGGCGGCACTCCTGTGGACGGAGCCCGGACGAGAGGGAGGGGAGCGCAACGGGGTGGGGCGATGGGCAGGCCGAGGGCCGGAGCCGCGAGCGCCGAGATCATGCTTGACCGCCGCACGACTCGGGAGCGCAGTGGACCTCGCGCGGCGAGGCCTCCGCTTCGAGAAGCACGCGGCACGCGGTGCTGACCCGAGGGCGACGCGAGAGGCGGACGCGAGGGGCGGCACGGCGGCTCCTGCCCTCGGAGCAGCCCTCGAGAGCCCTCGACGGAGGACCCCCCCGCCGCCGCCTCTCGGCGCCACGCCGGGGGGGATATACTCAGAGGCAGCACCACCCCGACGGGTGCAGTGTTTGGTCGGGCATGTCCCCCTACAGGCAGAGCTTCGACCAAAAACTAAAACATTTTCAAAAATACTCAAGAATGGCCAACAATTTCTGAAAGATCGTCCCCAGACTATGTTTAACAACTATGTTTGAATATTCCTCCTGTAGAGGGGCAGGCCCGACTCAAGTACAGTCGGACCTGGGCCAGAAGAGCATCCCTCAAGAGAGCAGGAGGCCCTCCTTCAGCCCACACACGAGCAGAACATCCCGGGACCCCCCCCACCTTCAAGGATGCACAAGGACCGCTGACAAGCACAAAGAACAACACTAGGTTACCCCGACATGCGACGTCCTGATTTTGTTCAGGACGGCGTCCCTGGAAATCCCGACCCTGTCCCCGGGACCGGTTTTGCGTCCTGAGTCGTTTTCTGACGGTCCCGAGGCCCGGCGAGGGCCCCCTGAGGCCGAAAATGGCGAAACACCTCCCGTCCAGACTTTCTCAACGACGCGAGCATGTCTGGGCCTCGGCCCGACTCTACCCGGAGACTGGCGGAGGCTCTGATCGATGCGGGGGCTCGGCGCCGTCCTGCCGCTTGCCCGCGCCGCCGCGCGGGCGCTGCGGCGCCGCTCCCCCGCAACGCTGCCAAAGAGCGGCCGCGCCTCGGCTGTGCTTTTGGCGGCGCGCAGAGGGGGGGGCAGGGGGGGGAGGGCGGGAGGCTTCTTGCAAGGGGGCTGCTGCTTAGAGGGCGGCGGCCTCACATCTGCAGGCACGGCCCGCGCCCTCCGAAGAGGCAGCCCCCTCCCGAGAAGCCCTCCCCCTCCCCCTATAGCCCCCTCTGCGCGTGGCCGATTTTTCTCGCAGCACCGCGCCAGAACTGCGGGCGCGACTCCTCCGGCGCTCTGGCTGACCCCCACGTTCACTGCAACGTGAAAGCTTCAACCTCGACAGACGATGCGCTTTTTCTCGCAGCACCGCGCCAGAACTAACCCGACGCGCCTCCTCCGGTACGGTCGCCAGACGAGGAGCCTTGGGGCCTGTGAGCGCTGTGCCTGCCAAGCCTGGGCTTAAGTCGGGCATGTCCCCCTACAGGCGGATTGTGCACGAAAGCTGATAAATAGTTCAAGAAGGATGAACAATAGTCCAACAATTAGAGAAACATCGTCCCCAGACGATGTTTTGACTATTTTCGAATACCCCTCCTGTAGAGGGGTGACAGGCCCGACCTAAGCCTGGGAAGGACGCGGGGCCGGAGGGCAACGGGCCCCGGGCCCCGGGGCCTCCCCGAAGGGCCAGCTCTTCCTCCCGCGCCGCTTCCCGCCACTCCCGAGCGGGGCCCCCCGAGGGCCCCGACGAGCCCGAGGATGGCGAAAAACTTCGTCGGCGTCGGCGTCGGCGTCGGCGTCGGCGTCGGCGTCGGCGTCGGCGTCGGCGTCCTCGTCGGCGTCGGCGTCCTCGTCGTCGTCGTCGTCGGCGTCGGCGTCCTCGTCCTCGTCGTCGTCGTCGTCGTCGTCGTCGTCGTCACAATCGTGCACCACCGAGCGTGGACCCCGCCCTGGGCGCTCCTCGTGCCCGTCGGCGACTCCCCCCCCGTCGCGACTCAAGAGCCAGGTCGGGCATGTCCTCCTACAGGCGGGTTTTGGAGGAAATGCGTGAAACAAATTCAAAAACGGTCAAAACAAATCGCCCTCAGACTATTTTTCCCTGCTTTTGAGCACGCGTCTTGCAGAGGGACACGCCCGACTTGACTCCAGGGCCCCCGACTGGGTTGACCGTGGGGGTTTCTAAGTGGATAGGGGGATTACACGTGGATGCTATGGTGGGTTATATCTGGCCCAACCTGGCTTCTAGTGGGTTACAAGCGCGCGGGCGGAGCCCACTTAGCCCGGATCGTTCAACCCCCTAAGCTATACTCAAGGCACCTGCTTTCCCACTTCTAAGCCAGGTAGGGCCAGATAGAACCCACCTTGGCATCCACGTGCAACCCCCCTATCCACCTGGAACCCCCCACGGCCATCCCAGGAGCCGCCCCCTCCGGCGCGCCGCCGGGCCTGGCCGTCCTCTTGGCGCAGCAGCCGCGGCCGCCTCGGGGGCGCCCCGCCGCCATGCCTCGGGGCGGCCTCTGCGCGAGCGGGCTCTGCCGCTTCGACGGGGGGCGGCCTGCTTGAGCCAGGCTGCGGGTGCCCGCGGGGAGGCGCTGCCCGGAAGGGCCGGGCGTGATGCCTCTCTCTTTCTGTACCTCTCTCTGTACCTCCCTGTTTTTTTCCCCCGGAGGAAGAAGACGACGAGGAGGAGGAGGAGGAGGAGGAGGAGGAGGAGGCGGAGGATGAGGATGAGGGAGGAGGAGGAGTGAGGGGGAGGCGGAGGATGAGGGAGGAGGAGAAGAAGGAGAAGGAGGAGGAGGAGGAGGATCTTCGAGAGCCACAGACCCGCGTCGGGGTCACGGCTTCGGCGCGTGATCCTCCACGCCCTCCTTCTCCTCCTCCTCCTCCTCCTCCTCCTCCTCCTCCTCCTCCTCCTCCTCCTCCTCCTCTTTCTCCTCCCCCTTCTCTCAGCAGCAGGACCAAAGGAGGAGGACCCCCTGCTCTCCTGTGGCGGCGCGTGCAAGGGGGTGGGACTGGGGCGAAGGGGGGCAGGGGGGCGAAACCCTCCCACCGCCCCCAAAGCGTGGCACGCCCGAAATGGGGGGCGACGCCCACCAACAGATGCTGTCCTAAACATCGACGGCCGCCGTTGTTCGAGCGACGTCCGTCTCAACGGGGCACCTCCCGCGACGACACCGACGGTGGCTCCTGCTCACGAGGAGCAGCAAGCGATGTCGGCCCTCGCCACCATTCCTTCTCCGTGGCCGCTCCGACCCTCCCGAGAATCGGGTCGGGCGAAAGGGGGGGATAGCAAAGGGGGGTTTGAGAATCAGCTCACGCAGCTGGTTTTCCCGGCGCCTCCGGGCGCCGGGAGGCGCCCGCGTGTATCGAGGAATGGGCCCCTCGGTGGGGCCGAAACCAGCTGCATGCAGCAAATTTCGTAACCCCCCCTTTCCCAATCCCCCCCTTTCGCCCGGCCCGAGAGAAGCAGAGTCGGGTGCTCGTGAACGGGGAGGCCGGGACAGCACACAACTGGGGTGCAGGAGCGCGCACCCCTCGGTGCACATCATTCTGCAGGCCCGCGGTGGCAGTCTGGGAGCCGCTCTCGGGACCCCTTCAGGGGGCCACTCTCCTGCGATCCTCGTCCCCCCAACGCTTATTGCCCCCCCTAAAACGACGCGAAGATCTGGACAAAATCGGATCGGGATAACTCGAAATCTCTGAGAATCGGCGGGTTTGGAGGATGTATTGGGCGCCGCGGCCGCCCCAGAGCGTTCCGGAACGCTCTGAGAGCGCTCCGGAACGCTCTGGAGCGATTTATCCCGATCCTAGCCCTGTTTTACCCCCCCCCCCCCCCGTTTTGGCGGCGCGCACGAGGGGGTGGAGGGAGGGGGGATGGCTCCTGAGACGGAGGCTGCTCCTGAGAAGGGCGCCAGCCTGACATCCATAGACAAGGCCCGCGCCTTTCTAAGAAGCAGGGGTGCTCCTGAGAAGCCCTCCCTCCTCGCCCTACCCCCCCCTCTGCGCGTGGCTGACCGTTGCCGCCCACCCAGCAGAGGACCCCTCGGAAACTCCGGTCCCATTCCTGAGAAAGTTCCCCTGCCGTCTTGGAAGGCCGCCCACCCAGCCCCACCGCTTCCTGCGCGCCTCCGTTCCAGACCTCCGACGCCACGAGCTCCCAATGACGTCGGCTTCCCGCGGACCTCTCGCAGGGCTGCGCCCGGCGACGGCACGACCGAGAACCGACCGAGCAGGCAGCGAAACGACACGACGAGCTTTTCGTGACGCCAGAGGTCTGGATCCTGGGACGCAAAGTCGACCTCGTGAGCTGCCCTGGAGCACGGTCTGACCAGATCTTCGAACCGCGCCCGATCGAGGTACAGGGGGCCCCAGTGGGCCCCCAGAAGCAGAAAAGGCACAACAAATCGAGACTCCTACATCTCCCTCTTCGAACACAAGTTGTGTTCATCATATCATCAGTATCATTATCATCATCATCATCATCATCATCATCATCATCATCATCATCATCATCATCATCATCATCATCATCATCATCATCATCATCATCGTCATCGTCATCGTCATCATCATCATCATCATCATCATCATCATCATCATCATCATCATCATCATCATCATCACCAGCATCATCATCATCATCATCATCATCATCATCATCATCATCAGCATCAGCATCATCATCATCACCAGCATCATCATCATCAGCAGCATCATCATCAGCATCATCAGCATCATCATCAGCATCAGCACCAGCATGATCAGCATCCTCATCAGCATCATCATTCGTATCATCATCATCATCATCATCATCATCATCATCATCATCATCATCATCATCATCATCATCGTCATCGTCATCGTCATCGTCATCATCATCATCATCATCATCATCAGCAGCATCATGATCATCATCATCATCATCAGCAGCATCAGCATCACCATCATCATCATCCTACTGCGGTCGGCCTGACCTGTAATGAGGAGTGAAAGAGAGAATAGCAATAATAATACTAAGAATGATAAGAAACAGAAGAAGCTGAAGAGAAGAAGAGGGAAGGGGAAGAGGGGAGGAGGGTGGGAAGGAGTAGGAGGGGAAGGAGTAGGACGACGACGACGACCTCTTCCAGGCTACACTCTGACCAAACTCAGACGCGAACCCAGCCGTGGCAGCGTGGGCGTCCTTGAGGCCCCCCGAGGCCTCCCAAACTGCCAAGAGGACTCGACCCGAGGAATCCTCGTTATCGAGCTCGGTCCTCGACTACGGACGAGGACGACGACGACGAAACACGACGGACGGATGGACGGACAGACTGACGCACGCACGCACGTACTCGCGCACGCACGCACTCGCGCACGCACGCACGCACGCACGACGACGACGACGACGGGCAGCGGGCAACGGACGGCGGGCGACGAACGACGGGCGACGGACGACGGACGACGACCACGACCACGACCACGACGACCACGGCGGTGGCGGCCGCGACGAGCTGCGGGTGACCTCGGGGCTGGCGCGGGCGCGGGCCGCCGCGCCCTTGTCGCGCCGGGAGGGGGGGGGTGGGGCGGCCGAGGGCCTCGCGGCGCGCGAGCGCGCGTGCGTGCCGCTTGAGCACTCGGCTGTCTTCCCTGGCGCTGGTCCTACTCCTCCTCCTCCTCCCCCCTCCGCCTTCTCCTCCTCCCCCTCCCTCCTCCTCCCCCCTCCTCCTCCTCCTCCTCCTCCTCCTCCCTCCTCCCTCCCTCCTCCTCCTCCTCCTCCTCCCTCCTCCCCCTCCTCCTCCTCCTCCTCCTCCTCCTCCTCCCCTCCTCCTCCTCCTCCTCCTCCTCCTCCTCCTCCTCCTCCTCCTCATCCTCCTCCTCCTCCTCCTCGTCGTGAACTCCTCTTGCGGGCACGCCCGCGCATCCAGTGTGTCCCCAACGTGCTGCTCTCCAGCAACGTCCACGTGTGTCGATACTGCCCCTGTCAGCTCGCGCGTGCTGTTCGCATCGCGAGCCAAATGAGAAGAGATCCCGAACCAAAGCTGTAATCCGAGGCCGCTGCTGCACGACGCAGCAGCGCTGTACCGCCCAGGCCGGAGCAGCGACCCGATCCTGTTTCCCAAATGGCTCATGGAGGGAGACAAGCTATTGTAACCTTAAAGCGTTCCCGAACAATTTTTGGAGATAGACTGGCTGGTGCAACCTGTGAACCCCAAGAGGCAAGCCACCCCGAGCAGAGTCTTCGACCTTCCAGGTCTCCTAGACCTCCAATTTGGCCCGTTTGGAGCCCCCTGGGACCATCTTAGACACCTCTAAGAGCAATCATTCAACTCGCCAACGGCTGCCACAAGAATTGCAGTTTGAGGAATCCCGTCGCGGCGTCAGACGGCCCAGGACAGCCATGACGGCCCGAACACGTGCCCGCGAGGGCCCCCACGGTAGCCCCACGAGGCCCCCAAGAGACCCCCGACAGACTCCCCCGACGACTGCTCCACGACGGCGTCGCAGAAACCCAAGCCAGCTCCAAGACTACCCAGGCAGGCCCATGAGAGCCCCTCGAGAAGTGTCATGTGGTACAGCCTTCTGGTCGGTATTCGAAGCGTCGCAGCGCAGAGAACTGCGCTGGCGTGGTGGTCGGACTTGCCAAGGGCGGCTGGATATGGAGCAGGTGCGCCATGGGCAAGCTGCGCACCGCAGCCAACATGGCAGAATGGTGCAATCGTGCTCGTACATGGACGCGTTTGAGATAGCATGCTGCCGCCAGTGTCGTATACTTGGAGGCCTAGAAGTTGGCACCAACACCAACACAGGGGGTTGCCTCCACATGGGGAAGATGACCGACCTTATGTTTCGGTGTTGGTGGCAATATTTCGGTCACCTTGAAGCCAGAATCCCACCAGCCCTCTGGGCGTAGGTGGTCTAGAACAGATCCTCTTCCACCCCTCCCTCTTCCCCCTTGGGGAGGGGTTTACCCCTCCCCCTACCCCCTCCCCTGGACCTGGACGGGGGGGGCCGCGGGTAGTTAGAGCGTCCAAGATGGCCCAAGACGGCTCCAAGAGCGCCTCAGAGAACCCAAGATGAGCTCCAAGATGGCTCAAGATAGCGCAAGATCGCTCACGATGGCTCCTAAGATGGTTCCAAGAAGCCCAAAGACGGCCCCAAGATAACTCCAAGTGGCCAAACAGCTCCCCAAGGAGGCCCCGAAGAGGCCAAAATCGTCCCAAAACCTAAGGAAAATCAATGATTTTTGCTTTCTCGCCTTTTCGCTTCCGATGGCCATCCGAGGCCTGGAGATGGCTCCAAGATGGCCCAAGAGGGCCCCAAGAGAGCCCCAAAAGAGCCCCAAGACGGCCCCAAGAGCGCCCAAGAGCACTCCAAGAGCGTTCCAAGAGGGGTCCAAGAGGCGATTTTAGGGGCTTCCGAGGGGGGGCGCTAATTAAACCCCCCCTCTTGTTTGATCGACTCCCTCCAAGATGGCCCCAAAAGCGCCCCGAAGGCTCCCCAGAGCGCCTCAAGAGGGTCCCAAGAGGCGCCCAAGATGCCCCAAGGCGCCCAAAAAGCCCTCCAAGAGGCCCTCAAAAGACCCCCAAGA